AACAGCCTTTTTTTTTTAAAGCATCAGTAAAATCCAAAATCATTTACTCATTCTTTTCGATTACTTGTTTTCATCATGTAGCTCAAATATGAGTTGGCCTTGTCCCAGAGACACCCACATTGCCCTTAAATAGTAATTTTGAAAGTTCAAGATGATAAAGAGGCGTCAACATTACTTGTCATAAGGCTATTTTGCCTCCTCCACTAACAAGCCACAGTCCCACCTGCATGTGCTGAAATACGCTGACCAGAATCAAGTCAGTTGCAAACAGTTTTATTAGTCATATTAGTATATTTCACTACTGTTGAAACAAATCCTGAAAGTGCATCTTTTAAACATTATGGAATCGAGGCACTTTTGCATCATTTAAAAATGATTCACTCACATCTCAAAAGATTGACGTGGACATCCAACAATGACCCCACAAAGTACTTCATCTACAGGTCAGAAATTAAAATGAGAAAGAAACTTAAAGTCAATAGCACATTGCAAATATATGTTTCATTTTATAATACTTGATTTTAATACCTGTAAAGATAATGATCTAAAGCCTTTTTTACTCCCAAGTCCCATCACAATTATTCATAGTCGCTAAGAAATTTCTTCTGGTATTTCTGTTGAAACTGAAAATAATGCTCGTTTTAAAACTTTTTATTTAAAGTAACTAGAAGTGTTATTATATTTCATTTAATTTGTCACGGGCAGGGTGTACTAGAGAGCAGGCAGGATGATGAAATCAAAGGATATTTAATAAAGAAACAGGAAATCCAGACAGGGTAGGCATCAACAGCCAGGGGTAACATTCACAGGGACATTCCAGAGGAGAGGAGTCCAGAGGCGATGGCGGGTCGACGCCCGACCAAGGTGGAGCTGGAGGGACGAGGGAGCCCGATGGAGCTGATGGATCGATGGGTGACGGTGGAGGCGAGGGAGCTAGGAGCCGAGGTGGAGCCACTGGGTTTACGGACCGAGGCGGAGTCCCGGCTTCAGAGGTCGGAGGCGAAGGTGAGGGAAACTCCGACCATGGCGACGCTGGAGGATGGCAGTCCCGCGGGGCTTGCACCACATTGATGGTGGGCTGGGGGCGAGCAGAGGGGCTGCCAGCTGACAGCGGTGGAGGATGCTGGAGCAGGTGGGAGGGCAGGCATTTTTGATGAGTGGGCACTGGAGAGAGCTCTTGGGCTGGAGCCCTTCCTGGGCGGAACTGGGAATCAGGAGCCCTTCCTGGGCTTAACGAGGAATCAGGAGCCCTTCTTGGGTTTAACGAGGAATCAGGAGCCCTTCTTGGGCTAAACTGGGGATCAGGAGCCCTTCCCGGGCTAAACAAGGAATCAGGAGCCCTTCCTGGGCTAAACTGGGGATCTAGAGCCCCTCCCTGGGCTGAACTGGGGATCTAGAGCCCCTCCCTGGGCTGAACTGGGGATTCTGAGGTCTCTCCTCCTCATTTTGGTCCCGAATTCCCTCCACGGAATTCAGGGCCAAACAGTTATTCTGTCACGGGCAGGGTGTACTAGAGAGCAGGCAGGTTCGACGAAGATGACGAAATCAAAGGATTTTTAATAAAGAAACAGGAAATCCAGACAGGGTCGCCATCAACAGCCAGTGTAACATTCACAGGGACATTGACATTGGCAATAATCGTCAAACTACACTACAGGAGGCAGGAACTAATATAGGGCAGATAACGAGGGGCAGACAGGTGAGCACAATACGGTGAATAACTGATAATGAGGACAGGAACAACCAAATAAGGACACAGAGGGAGCAACCACAAGCGACAGTCCACAGGGGTGTGACATAAGTAACTAATTTAATTAATTAATAATTCTATAGTTATTGAGGCTGAAAAGATTACATGGTTCTGCTCTTGCTGACTCATATGTAGATGTATATGGCAAGTGTGGAAAAGGCCACTGGGTTTTGTTGTGTCATGCACACAGAATACTCAAAAAACAGCGTGCAGATCAGATCAACGTCACAGTTGTGAATTTAGTCCATTTTGCATCATCACACCGTATTTACAGGAAACTACTGTTCATTTTGAAAATATAACAAATTGTTTTGAGCTGCGAACTGCTCAAAATAAATTTCATATAAAAAGATGATGATATTATATGTACAATGTGACAGGCTAAGAAAAAGAATATACAGTGGGTCGGAACATCCACACTAAAAAACCTGAAAATAAACAGGACGTTTTAGGATTTTTTAATATTTAGGATTTTCAAATATGTTCTTATATTTTTATATTAAAATAAAAATATAAGAAAAGTTGATGAAAATATTAAATAAAAAAAGAATGAGACTGACATACATTTTTCAATGCTATACTTTTCATTCAATGTGCATAATAATAATAATAATAATAATAATATTTCCAAACAAACAAAACCTCTCCCTTCCCCATGTAGTTGACGTACAAAAATAATGAAATCGATGTACACTTTCCAATTCAACTTTTTACTCATTGCGAATAATAATAATAATTTATTTATTTATTTTCTTTTTCAAACAAACAAGACCTCCTTTCCCGTGAATTTGATGTAAAATTGAATAAAAGACTGATTTTTTTTCCAGTTAAACTTTTCATTCAGTGTGCATAATAATAATAATTACTATTATTATTATTATTATTATTATTACAAAAACAAAACCTCTCCCTTCCCTAGCTGGCATACAAATTGAATAAAAAATTATGAAATTGTTTTTTTTTAAATCAATTTTATTCTTTTTTAAACATTATTCATTTATTCATTTCAAACAACAAATCCCCTTCCTTTCACATGAGGGATAATAATAATTATAAATCTATTAAAATAATGCCAAAGCCAAGCCCTTCTACAACTTAACATGCTATAGATTCCATACAAATTTCAACATGTGACATAATTAATTACTAATGGTAACAATATATTATATAACACACAGCTGTTCAAACTGGTTGGTTGTTAGGAGGAGACTTCAAGCGTGGGTGGATCTCGCACATCAGGTTCTGGAACAAGTGGTTTTTAAGGGTTTTCCTGGAATGCGCATTCACAGGATTCTCTCGCTTTGTTTATTCGTGGACTTGTGCAATTTGCAGAGTCTCAGAGACACCTCGAATACCAGCATGAACAGAAGCTGGATTATGACTCAGTGTTCAGGCTAAGAACAGGTCTACCCCAATTTAACACAGCCCACGCGCTGATCTTTAAAGTCTTGTCAGACTAAGAATAGTGGGTCAAACTGTCATCCCACACCTGGACCTCCCAAAACTCCCTCCATTCAGAACGGAACTAAATCCTCTGCATATGCATGAAAACATAGACTGAGGCTGAAAAATAATTGCACACATACCGTACATTCAGTTTAGCAACACCCATATGGACTGTAGCCAACTTTTCCTATTGGAACAGTATGTGCATTCAAGTTGAAACCTGTATGTGTAACGTTTGAGGGAATGTTCTCCAAGTACATTCTGTGAATCTCCATTCGCTTAAACAATGGTTGGAATTCATAAGCATTATTTCAATGATACTTTTCAATTGCTTCATAACAAAGCAAGCAGAGCGCCACAGACACCCATCTTGACGTATGTCACGGTATCACCATAGTGACCTAAGTGTTGGTAGAAACGGTTGCTATGTTATGGCTCCTCCTTTATGCAAATATAGCTACAGTTGTTTCTAGTGCAAATGTCAGGTGAAGAAAGGTACAGTAGACAGTATCACACTAATTCTTTATTTACTTGGAGTTTCCGGTTTTTTTTTTTTTACTTGGACTGTCCATCTATCTTGCTCTGTTTGAAGAGGTGGATACGAAACCAGACAGATACTGCAGTTCATGCCTTTGTTCTCTGCTGAAAAGAATGCAAATGCATATTTTCTGTCATGCAAATAAGTGTAAATAAATGAGTTGCACTGTAACATGATTTTTCAAAGTTGCATATAACACAAAGACTATTTGAGCATGTTTAACAAGAAACTACTTTCTACTTCAAAATGTCACGTTTGACTCAAAGTGCTATTGAAGTTTCTTTATAATTATTTGTGAAATTTACTAGCAATTTCGGAGGTAAAATTGTTAAAATTCCAGTCTTCAGTGTTTGATTGGTTTCATTTGTTTTAAATGCTATCATGGAAAATACTAAAAAGATGGTGAAGTATGATGGTTGCCACTAGAAAATATGAAGGGGGAGCCCCAGAAAAAAAGCGCAGGGGAATATGGTGGACCCCACAAATCAGGGGCCTTCCATGTGGGATGTTTCACTTCAGTCACTTTAAACTGACTCAACCCTCTTCACATTCATATATTAATTCTGAAAAAGGTCCAGAATTTTGTCGAACACTTTTTGCACTGTAAACATTTTTTTTTTAAAAACCTTTGCATTGTAAGAAATTAAAGACTGGCCCCAAAAGTATTTGGACATTCATCGCTTATAATGTCTGAATGTAATCAAGTGGCATCTGCAAGCAAACAAACTATGTTTTCAATTCATTCTTTTTTATTTATTTATTAGGATTTTTCCTTTTCCAAAGTTTTTGTAATGGCATGCAACCATTGATCTGTATGAAGTCCGGCAGTGTTTCTCAGATACAGAATATGTGCCAAGGTGATTTTTTTTTTAGTAGATGTCTGAACTCAGTTCCCCTGTAAGTTCCCACATGTGTCCTATAGCAGGATAACCACATTAACCACATCTTCAACTAACATTTAACAATCTGAAAGATTCCATACATTGTTACATAATGCAAAGACATTCACTTTTTGGGGTCACTGTACCTCAGTATGAAAACGAACAAACAAATAAAAAAATGATGTTGATATCAAGAGCTATTTCTAGCTGCCATATATATTTCCTGCATTATTAATAGTCCCCCCTCTCATGACTTTCATTCATGAGCTCTTGTCATTCATTTTCCCGTGAGTTTGGCTTACTGCGTATCACCAGGTAGATTCTAATGTGTAATAGGAAAATTCAGATTTTCATTCTTACTTCGAGGAGTCATCTTGAGGGAAATTCTCTAAATAAAAACCCGCTACGAGTTCCCCTTTTTCAGTGTAGTCAAGATAGTTGCAAATGGAAATCCCCCGATGTGCAGCATGGAACCGGAGGCGCACATAAAAAGGGCGTTGCGCCGCCCTCTCCGCACACTTCACTGCTGACTGCGATCCAGCGAGCGTCGCGATGGATGTACACAGAGCTGCCATGATGAACTATGTGGATTGTGATGTGGATGAAATGGATACGAAAAACAGGAAAATGCAACACTGCGAGGATCGCGTCGACAGCGGCGTGGATTCTCTAAAGGAAGACGAGTATAGGAAAATAGTGGAGGAAATGGAGACTTTGTCTTTGCCTGGCCCGAGCGTCAATAAGGGGATGTGTGAATCTTGGACAGAAGATGTCACGGAGGACGGAGACACGTAAGTGTAAAATGCTTTTTTTAAAGAAAAAAAAAAAATGCAATGCAAGCTTCCCAGCAAAAAAAGAAAAAAGAAAAGTGGTGCAGAAATTGACCCATTTAATGCAACTTGCAACAATTGTGGCTAAAATCTGTTTCAGAGTTCTGGTGGTCTATAAAAAGTTGTTGATTACATTAAATGAAACAATGCATTACTATTCCCTTCGCTCGATAAAAATGATACAAGTAAAATATTTTAGATTTTCTTTTTTTTTTATTGGGACCAACTGTGCAATTTTGACTCTACAGTTATAATTGTAAACAGAAAAAAAACATGCCTTAACCAACTTTTTAGAGAAGTTGTGCAAATAGTTTTAGTTGCGGAAGTAAACAAATCTCGTTTTGGAGCAGCGCCCAAAGTGGGAGGAGCTTGAGAAACAAAGTGCGCAGGCAGGAAAGTCCCTGGCGCGCGGCCAAGCGCAGATAATGCATCAGCCACCGTGGCTGGAAATAACCTTCAAAACTCCATTCTTGCGAAACGGCCGCCTGCTTGTGCTGTGTGTGTGTCTGCTAAACCACATCCTCTGAGCGTGTTCTTAAAATATTTTCTAAAAAAAAAACCCTCCCACATTACATTTTCCAGGTATCTTCACCTTGCCATCATTCAAGAGGCGGAAGATTATGCCATCCAGATTATCAAACAGTGTCAGAACGACCCCTTCTTGAACAGACAGAACAACCAAAGAGAGGTAATTGAAGTTCCACAAAGAGCTACTCGCTTAAAAGCACAATTTCCCTCAAAATAAGAGCTTGTTTTCCAAACCTGACTAACATCTAACCTCCATCCTCAGACTGCACTGCATCTCGCTGTCATCACAGATCAGCCGCACATGGTGGCCAGACTGCTAAAGGCCGGCTGCGATCCCCGGCTGGTCGATCAAAGTGGAAACACGGCCCTCCACATCGCCTGCAAAAGAGGCTCACTAGCTTGCTTCTCAGTGCTGACTCAGACTCAGATTCAGACCCAGCATCTGCACTCCATTCTCAGCTTCCCAAACTACAGCGGTAAGTCTTCCATTTGGAGTAAAAAAAGCAGTTTTTGAAGCACTGCCCTTCTTTTTATCAGAAAAAAGCAAGTGTCTCCATATAAAGTCGTAATTTTTAGTACAAAAAAGTGCCGCTTTTAAAGTACCATCCCTCTTTTTTTATTACAGGACACACGTGTCTCCATATAGCAGCCATTAACAACTACCTCTCAATGGTGGAGAGTCTGGTCCAGCTTGGGGCAGACGTAAACGCAAAGGTACGGTATGAGTTTAAAACGCTCTGCAGCGTCATAAATGACTCTTAAATATGTGTTTTAAGAGAACTAATGTGTGATTTCTTGTGTTCAGGAGCAGTGTAGCGGCCGTACGTCACTCCATTTGGCCGTGGACCTGCAGAACCTGGATCTGGTGCACACGCTCGTCGCTCTGGGAGCTGATGTTAACAGTCTAACCTATGGAGGATACACGCCGTACCACCTGACCTTCGGCCGACAGAACAGCGAGATCCAGAGGCAGCTTTACACTCGGACGGCCCAAGAGCTCAGGGCGATGCCAGAGAGCGAATCAGAGGAGAGCGATGAGGAGTGCTTTTCTGATGACGATTGTGTAAGTTTCCTTAAAAAGCTTCTCCTACATTTTACATTCCTTCTTGATGTGAAAAAAATTTCATTATATATATATATATATATATACACAACTATATTATTTATATTTACATATATTTTTCATTTTTTTAACAGATGTATGATGACATCCAGTTCTGTGGGAGATAGTCTGGCCCTCAGGACAACATTCCCCATAATGCAAAGCAGCGAAGGCTGTAGGTGCTCTCAAGGTCTGGGACAGGGTGTGCCATATCCCAGGACGTCAATCCCTTGATGGGACTCCGCAAAAGTGGAAAAGAGGAGCTGAACCCTTCCCGGGGGCATGATAGTGGTGGTGCTGTTAACCATGGAAAGAACCCCCGAGATAGCTGGACCAAAACCTTTACCAATATTTTTGAAGTCAAAGAGTTGGGAAAATGTATATTTTGTGAATATATAGAGATATATTTTTATATTTGTAAATTTGTGAAATGAAACACTTGTCAATAATGTGTATAGTCTATATATTACACTGTGAAAATATTTTTTACATTAAAAACAAAAGAAATGACATGAATTCCGAGTTTGGGTGTTTCTTGTATTGAATGTGCTGGACTGATTTCAGAAGGCCTGGAAATTTTCTGAGTTGTGAAACTTGTGAAAGAACATGTAAACCCCTGTAGTGGTGGAATACCAGAAAAAAAGCACTTGGTGTGTACAGTAACTATCATTTCCTTTCTGGAACACATGAGTCACGTAGATGCGTCACTATAGTTTAAATAAAATTCCTTGGGTCTGCTGACTCGCGCTAGTATGAAGTTCCCCACAAGAAAGAGAAATGAACACTCGACCACTAGAAGTGTGAGGTTCATGAGCATTACATATTCAGTGCTAGGATTACATTATGTGTGTGACCATAAAACTCATGATGGATCAGTGCAATTTTGGGATTATTCAGATCGCCGCCTAATTCAAAGTCATAGCTCTCTTTTTAAAACGGCATCAGTCATGTTTCTGGAGACGGATGAGCCAGGAATCATGAATTTTAGGGAAATTCCATAGCTTTGTTCTCCTGACAATGAATGGCATACTATTAAAACCATTGGAAAGATTTCAATATGACATGCATCATAATCATCTTCATCACTGTCACATGGCGAGAGGTGAATTGTAAGGGGGTCTGAATACTTTCCGTACCCACTGTATATATGTATATATATATATAGCTCAAAAAGGCTGCATTTATTTGATAAAAAATACAGGAAACAGTAATATTGTGAAATATTATTATTGTTTTCTTTTTGAATATATTTTAAAATGTAATTTAAAAAAGCTGAATTTTCAGCATCATTACTCCAGTCTTCAGTGTCACATGATTCTTCAGAAATCATTCTAATAGCTGATTTGCTGCTCAAGAAACATTTAATGTTGAAAACAGTTGTGCTGTGCATAACACTTTCATGGAAACTGAATCCTTTTTTTCCAGGGTTCTGAATTCTGAAAAGAACATTAAAAAAATTAATCTTTCATAACATTATAAATATCTTTAATCAATTTAATGCATCCTTGCTGATAGTATTAATTACTTAATCTGATTATTTTCTGATCTTCTTATCCAACATGTATTTGTGGATCAGATTTACTAGAATTCCACAGAATGATCATCTAAATTCATACTTGTTCATATTTTCAGTTACACCACAAAGTTGTGTAGTATCTGGTTAAGGAAAAACAGTTTAAACTACAGAATGAGGGCGAGTCAGATCATCAGTGTGATTAAACTCAAAAGCACGCATTTGACGTTCCTTGCGTGATAATCTCTAGTCTTCCCTAATCGACTCTTGTTACACTTAAGACACTCACAAAGAATTGCACCGAATGAAAAACAGGTTTGTAAAAGATTTCCCTGTTGTAGAATCAGCTAGGGAAAACACAGGATGTAGCGAAAATGAAAGATGTGCATGATGGGGACTCCCCCAGTAAAATATTCACAAAATGTCCTGCTATATGAGAAGAAAAAGAGAAAGGAAGAGAGCAGGAATCTTAATATTTTTCTCAAAATGTATTTAATGGAACGGGGAATTTACATGAGAACAAAAGCTCTGAACAGGATCCTATGCATCTCAAAACTGTGAGCAGCACCTTGGAGATCTCAGTCCCTCTCAGCCAGAGACACCAAATGAGTGTCCAACTCTGACTCTGACAGAATCCTGGAACAGAGCAAACGAGCAGAACCGTGAAAAATATATAATCTGTGAAGCACGCTCTGATTATAATACGCATCTGGCATATGTGACACGTCAAAAGTGACATAAATGAGGCATGTTGCATCATTTGACAAATATCAATACCGAAGCCATCGACTGCCTTTCTAGAAGTGATTTTCTGTAGAACAGAGTGCAGATCTCTCCGTGTAGATGGTGAACACGGTTCTTCCACCCACCTGAATTTCGGATCCTCTGCTGTGATGACGCCTACCTCCAACTCAGATGGCTTAAAATCGATTGACAGCACAGTTGATAAACAAGTGATCGCCGTCTGTGGATGAAAATGCTTTATTAGTCCAAATCTACATATTAAATTTAATGAAACAGACAGATAATCCAGTAAAAATGGATTTAAAGTAGTTTTTTGGCTTTAGGATGTAAACAAAATAGTTCAAAGCAGCACACATCCTAAAATCAAAAATCAATTTTTTTGATGTCAATTTGATTTTTTAAGTAGTAGATTGTTGATATAACCTTTCCTTGTTTCATAGCTTTCAAGATATATAGATTAGCAATACTGTTTACAAAGAAATTGTGTAATAAATCAGGAAGCAAGCATATATAACCATCCCTTTCTGTAATATCTTTAACTACATTATTGAGCAAAACGAGTTTAGAGGAGATATTAGAGAAGTTGATATTTCCACTCCAAAGAAACAGCGTGACCAGACACAGATCTACTAGACACCTTGGTGCCAGTTGCTGAAATGTACAAAAACTGCTCAGAAAAGTAAAGACAGTTCTGAGAAAACTTCTAGCATCATTGGCTGGATCATACCACTTGGTTTGTCATTTTGTCAACTGATGCAATGACATTGATACAGTTTAAGTGTCTGAAAAACAACTGGGGCCACTGTTGTAGGTGCCACAAATACACATATACATAAACAGCTGTTTTCATTCACTGGGTATTTTTATTTTATCAGTGGTAAATAGGACACATTATAGAAGCAAATGTGCTGAAACCTGAAGTTTACATGACAAAAATAAAACCTTTTCCTACAGAATCTTGCTATCATTAAAAGATTAGTTCACTTGCAGAATAAAAATTTCCTGATCATTTACTCACCCCGAATGTCATCCAAGACGTTCATGTCTTTTTTTTCTTCAGTCGCAAAGAAATTAAGGTTTTTGAGGAAAACATTCCAGGATTTTTCTCTATGTAATGGACTTCAATGGGGATCAACGGGTTGAAGGTCCAAATTGCAGCTTCAAAGGACTCTACATGATCCCAGCCGAGGAATAAGGGTCTTATTCTAGCCAAACCATTGGTCATTTAAAAAAAATAAAATAAAAATTTTATATACTTTTTTTTTTTTTAACCACAAATGCACGTCTTGCACTAGCTCGACTTCACGCATTACATAATCATGATGGAAAGGTCACGTGTGACGCAGGCGGAAGCACCGATCCAGTGTTTACAAAGCGAACGTGCAAAGAAAGTCAAACGTTCTTTACAAAAAAAGGTAAAACAACGATGTCGGATGATTTTGAAGTTGGGAGGAGAAAATGAGATGAAGTTTTTCCTACCCTACCTTTGGAACCGCAGTACACAGACGAAGAGCTAACCGCGCGTGAGCTTTCCAACATGATTACGTCATGCGCGAGGTCGAGCTAGTGCAAGATGAGCATTTGTGGTTAAAAAGTATATCAATTTTTATTTTTTTTAAGAAAATGGCCAATCGTTTCGCTAGATAAGACCATTATTTCTCGACTAGGATCGTGTAGAGCCCTTTGAAGCTGCACTGAAGCTGCAATTTGGACCTTCAGCCCACTGATCCCCATTGAAGTCCATTACATAGAGAAAAACCCTGGAATGTTTTCCTCAAAAACCTTAATTTCTTTGGGACTGAAGACAGAAAGACATGAACATCTTGGATGACATGGGGGTGAGTAAATTGTCAGGAAATTGTTATTCTGGAAGTGAACTAATCCTTTAAATTATAAGCTGATGTGGGCAATGTTAGCAGCTGGAATCAATTTTGATGAAGCTGTTATCAAATGTTTTCTTGAATTCTGAATTTTAAAAGCGATTGCACCTCAACTGTCTGCTCAAAGGTCCAATCGAATTTCTTCTTCACTTTTTTCTCCAGGAAGCTTGTAGCCTCTGTCTGCTTGACACCTGCAGCCGTGGCCTTGAACCCACAGTAATAACCTGCTGGGTCACACTTATACACCTGTGGCCCGAGCTCCTCATCTACACCAATTACAATCATGCCTGGAAAAGATACAACACCACAAAACATCAAGTTCTGCATAAACAACCAACACCCAATGGACTTCTTTTAACAATGTTTCTGCAGGTTTTATGAAGGTAAATTTAATACTTTTTAAGACCAAGTAAAGACAATTTTAATAATAAATTTAAGGGAACACAATAGCAAGGTTATTACAGTTAACTAAAACAATAAAAACAATTCTGTTACTTGAAATCAATTAAACATTAACTGAAATAAATGTAAACAAAACCTAATAAAACTACAAAACACACAACAAAATTACTAAAATTTTAACAAAAATAAAGCAAAATACAAAAAAAAAAAACTATAATAGTATCTCAATGATACTAAAAGAACACTACACAGTAGGTCGATGTTCTCTAAATGTGAATGTCTAGGCAGCACAATATGAATTGTATTAACAATAAAGTATAAAAAATACAACTTCCAACAGATTTCCATTACTTTCATTTATTTCACAAAAAATAACGTAAGACTTAAATACATCTGCTCCCAACCACTAAATATGGAAATAAAAAAATGATGTTCTCAGTATTTTTTTGTTAAAAATAAAAAATAAAAATAAAAAAAGATACTGTACTCTGTTTTCCGGTGTCTAAAGATTCTCAAATCAAGATTTACTTGAGGAGCAAAATGACAAAAGATAAGAACTTGTTTCCTGTGAAATTCATCAAAATGAAGTGAGAGCATGATTAAAACAAGAACAAATATCTGCCAATAGGCTCAGAAAAATGTATTTAATTCAAAGGTGAAACATGTTTTCTGGCCCCCTTGATATTGGCTCTCGTTTCAAGCATAAACTCACTTTTTCCCAACTTCTCGGAATATAAGCCTTCATATCTTCTTTTTCATTTCAAGTAAATGTATCTTGATTTAAGGATGTTTCAATATTTGTACCGGGAAAAAAGCTATAAATTTTTTTCGCAAAGCATGCAACATTTAATGCCATGGCTTTTTGAATTGAAGACTTTCTGCTCTGATTTAAGACCTTTCTAAATTAGGACTGTTTTGGCACAAAAACCTTGAAAATCAGAGTAAAAAAATTAACCATAAAATATGACATGACCCCT